GTATTTGGAAGCCCTGTCATCATAAGCTCTGAACACGCCGTGGGCACCAGTGCCCCGAGCATGAACAACACGCTCAGGGATACGTTCATGGTCAAAGTGCGAGATTTTCTCTCGAGCGATCTGGTCCTCGAGTAGAGCGGGGCCGACGTTCCTGCCATCAGTAGCACGGAGCCTGTCATGAAACGACAGTGGTCAGTCGCTTGGGCGCAATGGGCGGTGCTGCCGCAACGCGAAACTCACCAGTTGTCAGTGTCAGAGATGTACAGACCGAAATCCGTATTTTGACCCTTCAAGGAAGTAGCTTCCGGGTCCACTATATCTCGCCTCATGTCGTTTGTTTTGACATCAGCGGTAAGACTTGTTACAGCAGATTTTACGGCCTGCATGGCGAATAGCGGTTGGGAAATATGGGATACTCATGATGACGAGCATGGTATATATGTGTGGCCCAAGGGAGAAAGCTTTGGCAGCTCGGAATGAAGTCAACAGGGAGAGACATGTTCCAGCACAACTATGCAACACAACGTCAGACGTCGGTCAGATCCTACGACAGCGATCGACGGCCGGTCCGCCACAGCTCCCAACCGCGCTTTAACTTTGTTGACCCAATCACAGGGCATCTTTCCTTTTAGTGACCAGTAGGCCATTCGCATGTAGAAATGGATATTATTAAGCGATTCAGGTATATAGGGAACTGGACGAAGGTAAAACACAGCGGCAGTAGAGAGAGGGATCTGGAGGAAACATTCAGAAAAGAGTAAATACTCAAGAACAGAGAAATAGGAATGAGTGTCGAGTACAATAGATAGTCCGAACGATACGAGAAAGATCAAAACGTAATGAAAGTCTGAGAATAATAGTGGCACGTTCTCCGCATATCGACAAGAGAAGTCGTATCAACCAATCAGAAGGAGGGGTGGGGAGGGGTAATCACAGCTCGTCACAGGCCCAGCTCGTGTGTCCAAAGCGGCACGATTGGTGACGATGTCTATGAACCTATGCCATGGTCGGCGGCGTGATTTCCACATGGGTGGACGATGACCATAACATTGGGAGCCAGAGACCAAACCGCGATAATCATGAGTGGTGGTCTGAAATGATAGTGATTAGAATAGCACGAGAAGGGCGGAATGAACACACATACGCATATTGGAAGCATCTACAACGCGCCAGATACATATCGGTTACTTTACATCGCTGCAGTCACAACCCTTCTCCTTTCCAACCCAACCCTTTCCACAATCGTCGCACCAGCCCCTCTGGGCTTTGTCGACGCCGATGGACTTCCTCAAGTGTGAAGGGGGGCAAGCGGACTCGTCGCGGTGAATACTGACGAGGTGGCGGCCCAAGTCGTGCTTGCGACTGAAGGACCTGCCGCACGAGCGGTGCGGGCAGATGTGGGGTTTCGGGCGATTGGGGTCATGGGTAGCCATATGGGTCTTGAGGTTGTAAGCACGAGCAAAGGCTAGAGAGAATGTCGGTGAGTCAAATTTCGCCGAGCAAGAATAGAAAAGAAAACACATACATCGGCTACAAGTGGGACAAGGATACTTCTTACGAGGATCGTCGAGCTGCTCCTCCTTGACTGCCGCCCTATTAGTGATTGGGGGCAGAAGGGATACAGCAGAGACGGTGGGCAGCTTCGGGGAGGCGGTCGTCGTCGCCAATGCCGACTGCATCTTCGAACGGTTGTTATACTTGTACTGGGGGTAGTATTCGGATGCGGATGAGTTGAGAGCTGCCGCTGAAACGGCGACGGAGGGCTCGTAGTCGGAGTAGCTCGCGCGTCTATCGTAGATGCCACCCTCGAAGGCGCTCGGTGGCGCAGCAGCTGGGGAACTACCCGGTGATGGCGACGAGGATAGGCTGGCAAGTGCGTCGAGGGTCGCAAGTTGCGCCGCACTGACCGCGCCGTAGTCGCTGGTGTTGTCGACGTTGAATTTCTGGAAAGACATGTCGAGGTTGTCGAGAGGGAAGGAGTAATTGGAAGCTGTGTACTGCGGCGAGTTGGGGTAGTTGTAGAATGACTCGGAGCGGGATGACAAAGACTCATAAGCCGACTCCGAAGACACTGTAATAGTGGAAGGAGGGCCTTGACCAATAGGGGTATCGGACCTCAGGAAGGAGAATGCGTCGTTCGAGTCGACGGTCAGGAGCTGGAGTTGCACCTGCTCGTCAAAGGCAGCGAGACTGCGGTCGAGTTCTGACTCGAATAAGTCGGGGTGAGGAGCAAGTACGTCGGTGGGGGATTGGAATGAGAAGAAATCAAATGCTCCCAGCTGCTTGGAGTAGTCGTTCGCGGGTTTCGTATTGTCTGTGAACTGGTCGAAGTCAAATGCAGGCGCATAAAATGAGGCGGATTGAGGGTCTGAGTCCATGATGTATGCGGCGCAGCTGGTTTAAAGTGAAGACAGCAGGATTGAAAAGAGAGAGGGCAACGTCAGTTATGTGTTGGTGGTAGAGAGGCTTAAACGATCCTGCTGCGGATACACGTATGCTCCCAGCCGAACACAGCCTCTTCCCACGCCCCTGATCCTTCCAATTTCATGCCGTCTCGGCTAGTTCGAGTCTCCCAATTCGGCCAATGGACCCCGTTGCCCTCTACGTATTGCCTCCGGTAAATCATCCTGTGCCCTTGGCGCAGACTCGAAACCACCATCCTACACTGGTCTGGAAATATTCTTTGCTATCCACAAACAACACATTCATTTTACGAGGTTAGCAATGCGCCCACGGGCAAGTTCACCGTGGAGTTGTGGCAAAGGTGTGGAGCACCTTGTTGCACCATGTCCTCGAGGACCCTTCACAGCACCTGCCAATTCAGACCAACAATGTCGTCTTGTCGTCTTCCTCACACCTGGCCCGGCACCGATAGCTCTCAGCTGATGCGGACGGTATCTCTCACCGAGCACTCGCCAGGTCTTCTCGATCTCAAACAAACCGACCAAGTCGGAGAGATCAAATTACACAGCCTCGGTATGCATCGGATCTGATAAATCGCATCCTTGTGTTTATCTCCGGCTGCTTCACAAGGTAAGTGCTAATGTACCAAGTGCGCAGTAGCCAAGACGCGCAGTACTTTTGACTTCTCTTAAGCTGTACATCAATCAGCTTCTGCTAGACTTGGTAATTGCGACGTGTCTTTCCATCACAAAGACGTGTCGTAACTTCCACTGGACGTATTATTGTCCAGAATACCCCCCAACCTGCTCCCACATATGACAAAGGATATTGTCGTAAGCTCCGCGATCTTGCCTTCACTCCGTTGGATTATTGACATCATTTTCCGAGAGCCATCAAAGAGGCTGACAAGTCCATACTACTTTTTCAAATATCTTTCCGAGAGTTGTGGACTACTCAAATCCAGCTGACTCATCGGAAATTGGTAAACCCGAAGGGTGGAGGTCCAAACTAACTTCAAGCTGTTCAGTCCGCCTTGTCGTGCCCTCCGCTGACTAGCAATTCGTGTTCACTCAGATCTCAGAGGCAATGTCAGCGGCCCCCTTCATTGTCATCATCAATAACTCGGTTACTGAGAATGGAGCGGACGGCCATATGTTCCTCCTAGGCTGACTTGGGATCAAATCTACTCCGCTGGACAGGGATACACCCGTCGAGTCACCTCCTGCCTCGTTGTGCACCAACACACTTCTGAAAATGATACAGCATGGCCTCGAAGCTCCAAATTGGCTCAAATCGTGCAATGATGCAGTACTACAAGATTCAAGTTTGATCCCGCCGCTCAAATTTCATTGGATGACTCTCCAATACGGACCGCGGACTACCTTGGCCCCCGTGGCGAGTTTCTCTTTGGGAGAGTCTTGCTGATTGATGGTTCAGTTTCGTTCAAACCCTCCGTCACTCTTGGGGAACCTAAATGCCATATCGGTGTTTTACCATATTCCCGTTGAATACACGTTCTCATCGTCGCCAATGCTGACGCATCCCACTGGTTTCAAAGAACTCTAGGTCGATGCGTCGCGGTCATCTCACACCGCGAAACTCCCGAGAACAGCGGGGGATTCAGATACGTAGGTCAGCAACCGGCTTCTCAAGGCCTTCTATCTATCTTCTCGATGTTCGCTGCCGTGGTCTTGTTAGCTTAGTTGCGGCGACGATGGTGTTCGCACGCGTTACATATTCGTATGCACTGAACGGAACCGGCGACTGACTGGTGAGTGGTCAAAATACATTACACCTTATGGCAAGGCTCTCAGCAGCGGTATCAAGGTTGGGGATACATATGGATCTAACGCGAGCGACAGGGTACCTACGAAGGCGGTTTGTTCCTCGATTCTGATACGGTGAGAATACAAACAATACCTTCCGAACGCCGCTGTGACTCGGTGAGCGGGTCATTTCGACTTCACAGGGATAATAATACCCTACGGTATACCGAAGGAAGGCGACGTAAACCACCGGATCACATCGATGCTTCTCCCTACAGGAACTAATCGACATCCACCAACACGACGGGCTTCAGAAACCTCCACGGGTGTGGTTCTGAAGGCGAAACTATCGAGGATTGGATAATGGTGACTCTAATGGTCGTTCAGGCCGAGGACTGAACAATCGTATTGGCGACAACCACGATGATCACTTGCCGAATCCTGGGGATGATAGTGTTTGGATGTAAGGTTCCTACATCGCCCGCCTAGCTCAATCGGATAGAGCGTCAGACTCTTACCTAGGCATTGTACGGCGATCTGAAGGCTGCGAGTTCGACCCTCGCGGTGGGCTACTGACATTTTTGTTCTTTTTGACTGTGAAAAGGGGGGGGAAGCTACGACTAGTGGATTCTGTGTTTCTCATGGTAGTAGAGTGGTAATGAAACTTATAGTCAGTAACCATTGCTGAGCCGACATTGGTGTGCACGAAATCCTAATCCTCGGCTGCAAAATGAATGGTTGACACCTGATCAACCTCTCGAGTCTTCACCACCATACTGTATGCTAACCAAGTGCCCTATGACTCCCTGTCCCCAAGCAACAAAAGATTCTAGCCCACCGCGAGGGTCGAACTCGCAGCCTTCAGATCGCCATACAATGCCTAGGTAAGAGTCTGACGCTCTATCCGATTGAGCTAGGCGGGCGACGGAAGCAAAGCGACCGAGCAATCCAAGATCAGCAACCCTCCTTCTTCATCTGCGCACCACGACGGTGGCGCTTCGCCCCTCATGGATATCAACGACCTGCACCCGCCAGATGACTACAGTCATCGCTTCTTCATCTGGCACGAGTGGATTCAAGTGAGATTCACCTTGTATCGTTGATTATCTGGATCCCAATTATACTCGTTAGGCAAATGGTCCGCTTACCACCGAGAATGTCTTCGATTACTTTGCGACTTCAATGTTCTACGACAAGCAAAGTAACAATCAGGTGTTACGAATGCAGACGATGCACACAGGGCAACCGCTCCTAAATGAAGCGGAGGAGCTCAAGTCAGTTATTCCCGTTTGCCCTTTGCAATAGCCGTTTCATTCGTCCACACAGACGATTCACTGGTGTTGAGTTCGCTGTGGTCCACGCCCAACCACCCACCTTTTTTATCATTCACAAACGTGAAAGGATCTCTCCTGATAACGGTATGTTTTGAAGGAATCCCTCTTCGTGGCATCAAATCTAACGATCAAGCTAGTCAGACCTTTGGCGGCATATTTTATCATGCATAACCGCATCTACCAATCTCCGGATGTTTACACCGTCCTTTCTAATCGCCTGGTAAGCTTATATCATTTCCTTGGACCCATATCTGATCACACTTTAGCTTACGGCCGTAAATGCCCTGCAATCGTCCCTCGATACCCTACGAAAACACCGACCAGACTATACCCCTCGAACTGGGTTCATTTGGCCGATACGGGATACAGCTCTCACCGGAGAAGCGGCGAAGAAGCAAGATGAAACGGATGAACCCGTCAGCACGGACGAGGAGCACGACCTTGCCTCGCCCTCTTCCAAGCGAAAAGCGGCCAACAAGCAGCAGAACAATATGTTATTGTTCAATGCCATGCGTACTACAGCAGCGCATTCTGCTACATCCTTCACATCTCGCGTTCATCCTCCTGCTTCGGAAGGTGCCCCAGGAACCCCGGCGAGCGGAGTGGGTCAACGCTCATCCGCGACGCCTGCTCCTGCAGGACCGGTCCAAAATCCGTCTGCCAGGGCCCCAACGCCACAGGAGGTTGCTGCAGTGAAGGCACCACCTGGAGCGGGAAAGAAGAAAAAGAAACGTAAGCCATAAATTCAAGGAAATTACGAAGTCTAATTCTTGGGAATCTACAGGAGCATCCGCTGTTCAGGGGACTCTCAGTACTGGATGACCCCGTAGCGTTCCATAGTTGTATACCTGGCAAGCCTTACCGATGTTCCTTAGCGTTGATAAACATCTTCCGCCGTAACCCTCCAATTTGGTAGGGTGGCCCCTTCCACTATGAATTCCATGCACATACATGGCGCTGCGCATGAGGAAGTTGCAAGGCTCGGGCTGTTCCCGTTTCTCTTCCCAAGGACGGTGAGACGCACATGATCCATCTGACATCGCAGATCCCCGTGGATATGAATTAGGACCACAGGCAAAGAGCACCGAGAACATACAACGCCCTGCTACAGGCACTAGTAGTGGTAATGCCCGATCTTACCGTGCTCCCACACCTGCCAGCTTCCCCGTTAGCCACCCGAGGGGTGTCTGTAATCCTCCCCCCCGTTGCCCCACTCCCCCACTCCCCACACCCAACGATAGGGGATTTGCAGAAGCAAATGATGTCTTTCTTGCTTGTGCGGCTACTTGCACTGGAAGGTTTGAGTTGAGCCTGGTCCCTCTAGCTCATGGGTATCGTAGCAATAGCTACTTACCTTGGCTGTCGATCTCGTCCACGTTTGTCTCTAGTACTAGTCCGCCCTGAATGATCTCACCGAGGATGTGATGCACCTAGAATATTCTTCGACATAACTCTGGTGACCCGATCTTGAACAACAAACCTCATCGAAGTGGAAGACGAGATCTAGCTCGCACACGTTCTCAAATGCACGGTCCAGAGACTCCACAAAAACCTGAACTCGATGAGAATAACAGTTCCTATCGACTGCGAGTAACTGACCTGAATCAAGTCCAAGATGCCCAGCTCGCTTTCTGCGCTATCCACGACGAAAACGAAGTGTAAGGTGGCGTAGCTGCGGTACACAACCCGCAGTTTTTCGTCGGGCTTGTCTTTGCGACCCAGACATTCTTCCAGCTCGGGAGCATCCAGAAAGTTGCAAAGGCTGGCAGGACGAGTTGAAATGAGGGAGAAGATCTTCTTGACAAGGACTTGAGATGATTGTTGAAGCGGGCTATAGAACTTCGTCAAACGAGGAACCCCAGAGGTGTTGACTGAGGGTCGGCAGGTGAGTAACACGTCTAGGACGATTCAGGAGATGAGCTAACAGATGAGCACAGCATGAATCATCGTTGAGTGGTGGTAGGCAAGACACGAGGTGAGACTGGGCAGGTGCTGTCCAGGTCTCACTGGATGTCACTTCGAGCAAACGTGATGGAATATAGAGAAGGTCAAGCTTTCGCACAGACGTTTGCTCGCTTTTAAAGTTCCATTACTTATGTGCATCAACGAGAGCCTGACGCTGGAACAAGTCTAAGTCCGAAGACGGAACGAGCTGGAGGTTGAGGCAATCAAACGCATGCGCAATATTCACGGTGGGTGGCAGACGTAATCGTTGCAGCACGACATCCAAATATCCATACGCCCACGACATCAGGTGCAGATGCTATCAATCCTCATCCCGAGGCAGATTCCACCCAGGCTGCAACCTCCCTGCCAAGCTACTCACAGGACCTGACAATCCAGCCTGACTCTTGAAGCTTTCCAAGAAATTCTTGATCAGGTTGTAGTCCGCTGGTGTTTCCCCGTCGAAGTCATCTTCGGGGTCCAGGTCTTGATTCTCGAGAGCCGCCTTCACTTCAGCGTCCATTGCAGCTTCAATGTCCATCTCATCGTCAACCATGGGATCGAGCATAGGCGCCTTGGTCTTCCCCTTCTCTTTGGATGGTGACGAGCCAGGCTTTAGGCGAGCAAGCTCGGCATCCATGGCCTGCATTACGGTTTCGAAGGAGTCGAGGTTCGGGTTCGCACTGGGGCCAGCCCCCACAGATCGTGGCGAAGTATCCTTCAAGTCATTGGTTTTCGATGACCGCTTAGGAGGCTCAGGGCCGGAATATTGTTTGCTTTCGGGAATGCCACTCCGAGGTACGAAAGCTGTCCGTTGGAAAATGAGTTTATATAAAAGCATAACAAACGGAACATCCTTACCTCCTCTCTTTTCGCGATCTTGAAGGATATCAGCCCATTGAGCATCGGAAATGCCCAGGGCCTGTCGTGAAAACTCGATAAACTCATCTTGTTCCTCGTTCATATCGACTTCGATTTCTCCCACAACTTGTGGTTGATCTTCTTCCTCTTCCTCGTCAACCTCCTCCTCCTCATCCGTCTCATCGTCGGAGTCGACTCCCTCGAATCGGTCTCGCTCCAGAATTGGTGGTCGGATGAATGGTCGGAGAGGTTCGCTGTTGGAACCTTTGGGATGGGGATCCTCAATCTCCTCGGTGTCAACCGTGACTTTGGTGACTCTCTGGGAGTTCCGATGGAATGAAGCGGGCATTTTCCCATATTCGGATGGATCGAGTGCTGGGACAAGCTTGTCCATGGCTTCTTGCCGAGCAGCCGCATCGGCTGCAGAGCGTTCAAGAGGATCGATGTCACTATCTTCATCTTCATTATCCGAGTCCGAAAACCTCTCATCGCTAAACTCTTCGTCGGATGTTCCTTCACTGAATAGCCTTTAATGAGTGGGAAGAAGTTTCCAGAGAGAAAACTTACTCAGCGAACTTTGCACCCTCTATATCACCTTCCCCCTCCACGAAGTCCTCGACTTTTTTCGCCAATTCCTGAAGTCGGAAAGCTTGATCCTTCGCCACCCTATTCTCTTCAGATTCGAGACGAGACGAGTCATCAACATCCATCGCATCACTGATGGGGGCTTTGTCCTTGGCCGTTCGCAGTGTATCCTGTAACATGCTTTCCAGATCCTTTTGGTCGACATTAAGCCAGTCGTCTGGGTCTTCCCCTTGATCAACTGCCCCACTGACAAAGGCGCTTTGCGCTAGAGCAGTTGACACGAGGGAAGCAAACGATGGGCGGTTAGCGTCACTGTAGCCAAGAGGGTACAATCAATGCAAATTCATCTCAAACAACACAACATACTCTTCTTGTCGCGCCCGAATGAATGCGTCCGCTGCCTTGCTTTCGAGGGTTTTCCACAGCTGCGACCCTTCAACTTCCCCTTTGAAGAATCCTGCAGAGACAAGGTTCTGGATGTATTTCGTGTAGTCGGTATTCCTCCGTAAAGCGTCCATTTGCGCTTCTGCCTGTGATTGCGCTCAGATATAGTGCTGATAAGGAAAGAGTGGGTAGAACCTACCGATGCTCGCAAAGTATCCGCAGAGGTATGCAAACCCACTCGACTTTTACTTTCTTGGAAGAGCATCTCAAACCCACAGGCCTAGAAAGTTGACCCAAATGAGCGAGCGGCGCCAAAAAAGCCTTGGAAGTGTACATACGATCTTCATTCCAATATCTCTCCACCGCCATTGGTCAGTTCCTTCCCTCTCTGACCAGCCGCCGAAGACCTTGGGAGGATGAAACTTCTGACCCATGAGTTGAGCGTAGGCAGTCCGAGTCATAGTGACAGTTTGGAGAACGGATGGCTGTGGTGGAAACCGAGCCATTTTACGTGCTGCCTTCAAATCGAAGCGATGTCAGAACTACAGTTCCCGCATAGGAGGAGGGACAGACTCTAAGCTGAGCGGAGTCACGAGTGTAGAATGTCTCTACAGGCTTCTGTATAAGCCCTGGATTTACGGAGAGTGTCCGAGCAATGTCGACTGGCAAGTGTACTTTTGTCTTGTGGATATGTTGCCTTGCAGCGGCTGGGTAACTGTATGGAGTTAATCAGAGGGAAGTGCAGATGTATTTGAAACTAACCCTGCTATTTTCCGCCAAATGGTTGTTTCGAGGTCGGTGGGGGCCGTAGTGTT